AGTGTAAGAAAAAAATTGCTTTGCAATTTTAAAAATAAACAGAATGAATGGTTGAATTTTGAGTTGAGCTATCTGTAGGAAGTTTACTGATTCGCCCCAATGGGGCGATTCGGTAAAATACTATAGACTCGGTGAGGTAATTGAGGAATTCCATGCATTTTCTCGATCAAAGTAAAATGCAATTATCTTTTTGATATTTATTGATTTTGAATTACTTTTTGGTATCTTTCGATCTGTCTCGTCATGACAAACACAATATATCAAATCTTAAAAAAGAATAATTAGAAACACCTGAGAATGAGTTAGAACAAGAATGAAATGTAATAATAACAAATTCTCAACTCGCTCCACATGGGGCGAATCGGAAATTACGTAGACGTCGGTGGGGCGATTTGGTAATCTTTACTAAAATCAACAACAAACGGAGATTTTAACACAGCACGTAGAGTAGATACTCATCTACTCGTCTGCAAAATCGCGCGCAAAAATCTTCAAAATCCATCCAAATGTTGATGAATTAGTACGGAGTAGTCGAAACTCCTACCGAATCGCCCCACTTAACTCTAATAGAAACAGATTTCTTTTTAATATAAATTTAGATGAGTTTTTTTAAAAATATTTCTTCAAATGTCTTTCATATCCCAAATGTTTATAAGCAATGCTTATGTTAAAAAAATTAAATAAAAAAGAATTGCACATTTCTTTAAAAGTTGCAGCGATGGGACGTTTCGATATTTGTCGAACAGATTTTGTGGCGATAGATATAGATGAACCGACATGAAAACGGGTGAATCGGAAAAACTTCAGTCTGTAAATATAAAGCGGACTGAAATATCGTCGGTAAGACGTTTTCCGGTGCTTGATGTCGACGATGACGAAGAAAGATACTTTAAAAGTTTTCTTCGTTTATATTTGTCTGTTCGTTCAGAGACAGATCTCAACCAGTCGTATGCTCATTTTTACGCTCAGAAAATAATGAAAATAGGTCGTATGAAGGAAAAGGAACGTTGAGATCGTTTGCTGACATTACTCGGAGACAAACTAAGAGTGTTTACGATCGGTGTAACTGGTGCAGGTAAAGCATATCTATTAAAATGTGTGTTTTAAACTAATATACTATGTTATTAGCTGAAATTTCAGTTATTCTAACACTAACTACCATGTTCAAATACGCCTTTTGAACATCGTCAGATCATCCCAAAAACTGAAATGTAAAATAAACCGATATAAAAATGTTTTTATTAATGCGTACGTATGTGACACCATTTTTAATAGTAATCTATTCTACGGAACTCGCCTACTCTATCAATTATTCATTGTTATATACATAAAATTGTAAAAGGGTTATAAATAGTCTGAAATGAGAATTCGTCGTATTGTCTCATTCTTTACATGTGTCTATACACGCTTCTCGTGTCGTAAAATTATTTTCATTGCCACCACAGCCACCATAAACGAATGATTCACAGGTTCGTGTTGTCGAATTGTAGTAGAAACGTCGAAAGTCAGCTACACAGTGTCCAGATATCGGTGGCTGCTTGCAAATATCTGAAAGAGAACATAATAAAATGATTCATTTTCACGTTTTGTACATACTTTTACCTTTTTTTCCATCTTCATTAATTATATCTCTTTTGGGTCTAACACATTGTCCGACATACGTACAATCATCACCAGTTGTACAATTTTTTACCACTTGACATTTTTTATCAGTACCACATAATATTGCCTACACAAAGATTATAGATGTTTAAGCAATCGCAAAATTTCTATACTAAAATTACTTTTCCGGACGGGTTGCATGGATCATAACATTTACAAATATCACATCCGTACTTTTGCTCCAGACCGTACGCACACCTTTTTGTACATGGTTTTATCGGATTGCATTCGTTGTTTGGAGCTGAGTACGAAGCTAGAAGAGAGAGTTGGAGTGGGATAGTCTCAGTGCTGTATGTTTGTTCAAGTACTTACTGCAAACAAAACAGCAGAAAATAAAACAGAGCAAAGTTGCTAATTGTTTCATTTTGCGAGATCTAAATAGCAAATTCGTTTAATGAACCAAATATCGTGTAGTCTATCGATCGAACTAAGAAAAGTATTTCAGTTCTCTGGTTATCATCTTACAGTCAAATAAATATTATTTTACTTCTGATTTTAATATAACTTTTAACAAATATTTATAATATTAAGTTAGTGTTTGAAAAAACTTTTCAGATTCGAACGTGCCAGAGGCTAATACTCGTCTGCCCAAACAAAAATGCTCTACGGAGAAATTATAGTTCCATTGTTTATTATAGTTAACCGGATACTCAAAGCTAGCTTAAATATGAAAAAAGAATATGTGGCCAACGAGAATCGAACTCGCCGACGATAATGCACTATTGAGATTGAAAGTACGCAACGTTTTATCGGTTATAACCAACTAAGCTATCAGGCACACATGTGGTAGTTCATAAGTGATGAAACTACTGAGAAGATATTTCATAGATCGGTGTTTTCGTTTGAAAAAAGCATTCTCGAGAATTGCGTCTCGAACGTAAAATGAGGCAAATTTAATTTTTTAAATTTAATGTGTTGGGACCAGATTTTAAGAAATCATTCTTCGTGGTGAAAAACAGTAAATACCGTTTTACGCCGTGAAGATCGATTTGTACAAAGCTGAGTCCGGCAAATTAAATTTGCTTCATTTTTATCTCCAGATTCAATTTTGGAAAACTCTTACTTCATCGTGAAAAATCGCAAATACCTTTCTGTTATTTTTTATGGTGAATGAAGAGTTTTTCAAAGTTGAGACGAAAATGTAGCAAATTTAATCTACTGAAGATCATTTGCCGGACTCAACTTTGTACAAATTGATCTTCACGGCGTGAAACGACATTTACTGTTTCTCACCATAATGAACGATTTCTGAAAATCTGGTCCAAACACATAAAATTTAGAAAATTAAATTTGGCACATTTATGTTCGAGACTCTCGAAGATGCATTTTCCAAACAGAAAATATGAGAACTAGCCTAGGTGATAACCTCCCCCAAAAGTAGGTTGAACCGCCTGATCGCAGGTTAAACTTTTTGAGGTGGAGCCAGCTTAACCGTGTTACCTAACCCCAACCACCCCATTTCAGCTTCATTTTTTTTGCTTGTGTGCTTTCTCGTATTTTCTCCCTGAAGGCAACATCTTTGAGAGATGAACATAAATGTAGCAAATTTAATTTTATGCACTGGACCGGATTTTCAGAAATCGTACCTTTTGATAAAAAACAGTATATATTGTTTCTCATCATGAAGATCAATCTGTTCAAAGCTGAGTCCAACAGATAAAGTTTAGAAAATTAAATTCGCCATATTCTCGAAACTGAACTCTAAGAAGCTCTTCGTTCATGGTGAAAAATCACAAACTAGCTAAAAAGGTGGCATGTTTCAGCTTCAACGCTCGAAAAATGCTTTTTTCAGACAGGAAACAGCAATTTAATATTTTTACTTAAAAAGATTGTAAAATCTCTGAAATATCTTCTCAAGAATTACATCACTCATCAACGACTACAAGTGTGCTTACAAGGTAGCTTAGTTAGTTAAAATGTCACGTTCTTCTTTCTAATCTCAATTCTGAGTACATTAGTCGCGAGTTCGATTCTCGTGATGAATTTGAAAAAAGAATGAATGTCTTTTTTTCTTATTGGCTTTTTTTAAGATAGCTTAGGGTGCGCGGTGAACCGGGCGTTCGAAACGCTCGATTAACCTACTTGATAAGTCCCTCTTATCAAATATATTTTGTCTTCGGCTTAATCGTTGGGTTAACTGGGCGGTTAACATAGATGCCAACCTCGGTTCGGTTGGATAACACTGATCGAAGCTCTAGGATGTGAAGATTTCAAGGCACGTTGCTAATGGAAGTTATCAGAGACGATTATAATCATCGCTTTAGAAAAACAACGAATTTATAACTTACTGAATTCGTTTGTTGGAATAAACGTAGTTCTAATCACTAAAGATTTTCTCTCGATACTTACCGTCTGTTTTCTTGATAAAGATTCTTGATTTTTGTCAGTAAATATAAGAAAAACAATAACTTGAACCGATGTCCAACCTGTAACGATTTGCAGAAATTTGTTATGTCTCTCGAATTGTAAATGACCCCGTTATCATTTTGTTACTCTTTTTCTTATTAAACGCTGAGATAGAAAGAAAAAAATTTGTCTTCTCTCTTTGATACATAGTCATTTGTACAACAAATTTATATATGAAAAAGTACTAAACTTTAAAGCAAAATAAAGTCAGTAGAGAGAACGGAAGATGACCTCGTTAGAAGAAAACGTAGATATTTTAGACTAGTGATTTTGAGATATTCTCGTCTGTTCCTGTTATAGAAAGTAGACATAAATTTACCGATTAATTCACATTCGAATGACTTAGAACGGCATAGAAGAGTGGCTATATTTCTTTCCTTCTTCGCCGTACCATGCGAACAGATTGTGCAAGAGCCATCGGGAAAAAATCAGAAATCTGCAGCTATAACTTTGTTCTCCGCTTCAAGGCGGTTCGAATGCCGTGTGAAAGAAGACTTCATCTCTTAAAACAAGAGACGTGATGTTTTTTTGAGCGGAGGGTCATGTTTCTAAGTTTCCTTTAAAACGAATTTTTTCCCGTTGGCTTCCTAATATGCGGGAACTTCAAAACCACATTTTTATATGCATTTTGCAATGAGGATTCAGAAAAAAATGTTTCAAAGTTCCGAAATTCAATGAGAAAAACTACCGTCGTTTTTCTCGAAGAACGTTCATGTTAAGTGAACTTCAAAAACAGATTTTCAGAGAGTCCTTCCAGAGTCGTATGTGAATCCTACACTCCTGGCTTTTCCACCAAGGATGCGGACGATCTCTAAGACCAGTATGATTCTTTAAAATTTGAGCCAACGGACTTCACTCGAAAAACTTTTTTATCGAATGGACTGGACTTGAAAACGCATTTCGAATGGATTTGATCTGGGCTGGTCTTGAAGATTTGAGTCCATGACCCGGACTGGACTTAAAAAATTTCAGTCCATGCGGACCTCTTGTAAGAGCGACTCAGTCATAATTACAATATACAATAAGATTTTTGGTGGAAATGTGTACATATTTTTGAAAAGAGAGCTAAAGGTACAACTAGAACCGTCTGGCACGGTATGATAGTCTGCAGCTATGATGCATAGAAATTTAATAAGGTCTCGAACTAAGCCGTTTCGATCAAAATTTGTTCCATGTACAAAAACAGTATAGTTAAAATGATTGTTTATATGGATGGACCAGATAAAACGGGCCATTTTTGTTTCCTCTTTCCCTTCACTAAAGTTTGAAAAACTCATTCTAGGTCAACGACATACAGAACTTTCTGCTCTATAAAATCCTGTATATGCGACATTCAGATACTGTTGTCAGCCGCGAACCAACGCAGAATAAGGATTGGTAAGAAGTATAGCTGCTTGAAAGCAACAGATTATGGTTTATTTTGTCAAGCTAATTGATTATTTAATAATGTATTTTACCTCTAATAAGGAAACCATCAAAATTCGCATCGGTGAATTTATTCACAGGTGAATAAATTTATTTTACCGGTGAATGAATTCACTGCTAACTGGATTGGAAAGAAAATTAAGAACAATATTGTTCAATCTGCCTAAGAAAAAGAATATGGAACTATCGTATAACAGAAAGAACATGTATATATATATTCTTTTCTGTATCATACTTGACTTTTATATTTGACCGGTATCATCTGATGTTACGAAATTGTTTTAATCATCATCTATTGTTCAACGAAGAATATGGGATAAAAGATTCCCTTCACTATGAAATTAGTGTTTATTCTGACAACTTCCCATATTAAAAAGTTAACAATTTTGAAGGTATCCTTTTTCCGTTTTTCTGCCAGTTTGTAGCACACAACTAGGACTCTATACCATGCTATTTTTGAGAAAAAGGTACCTTTTAGTTTTTGAGTTATAAGGTTGCCAACGTTATAAGGTTATAAGGCTCACAGCAGAACGTATGAAAAAGTAGGTATCTACGCCAATATAAAAGCCAAATGAGTTTTCAGAGAACTTTCTGAACTACCATGACTTTCCGGCTTTCTCTTCGGGCCGTGGTAGTGAGAGATAATGCATGTAAAACAGAAATAAAAATGGTTACTATATACTATATATTATCCATATCTAGTATCTTCTTGAAACAGAGTTATTGATAGTTAATCAATAAGAGTGTCAAATGATGAACAATAACTACACATTCGTTACCGTTATATTCATCATTGCATAACGAAACAGTCATGTCTATATAATCCGCACACTAGTTAGATGAAACTTCGATGTTTTCTTCTTTCTGTGCATACTATATAAAGCAAGAAATGGAGAAACGAATAAATTTTATCGTTTTAGCCAAAAGAAAGATTCCCCGTATTATGAAATTAGTGCTTATCCTGACCAATTCCCAGATTAAAAAGTTAACAAATTTGAAGGTACCCTTCTCCAAGTTTTCTGCCAGTTTGAAGTACACAAGTTGTACTCTGTACCAAGCTATTTTTGAAAAAAGATCTCTTTAATTTTTGAGATATAGAGATCTCAATATCACAGTCTGAAGTTAGTAAAATGTATGGATATCACCTTAATTTTAGAAATTGCACGAATTCGGAATGACCAACATAACTTTCTGGATTACTTTTCGGAATATCATAGTCAGGCAAACCGAAGTTCTACATTTTTTTTTTCCAGTCAAATCACTAAAATTAAATTGAAACGAATCCATTTAATGCGTTTTCCTTGAAAATTCTTTGAGCGTTAAATAATTTGTTGATATTTTGCTATAGGTTCTGTTTATTGATATTTTACTTTAAAGTGATACAATATTTCTTTAAGATTTTAATGAAAAATAGGTCGGTAACGTGAATCACTTGGGCTACTTTCACGTATGTTGGGTAAAGCCACGAAACTCTCCTAACTTTGCTTAAGGCGTCACAAGATTTTTTAATATACTTCAAGCTGGAGAGTTCGGGTTTGTTTTATTTTAAACTAGACACCTAACTACATCGACTGACCGGCGCCGATTTTTCAATTAAGC